CCAACGCCTGCGCTAAACGTTTCCATGTCTGAGAAAATCTTGGACTACGCGATCATTCCGCTTTATTAGGTTCTTGGATAATATATGAAAATAAAGGCTCGAGAGAAGTTCTTTTGAGAATTTGGCAACCTGGTCGGAGACCTACCCCTTGAAGGTCTGTTTAGCGATTCGCGTTTAAGAAAAGTTTTCATTCTTGAGTGAGGTCAGGGCTAATCACGAGGGGTCACTGGTAGCGGCTCCGAAGTGGCGACGAAACGAGCTTGTTTTTCCCTTCCGCACCCGAAGCGTCTACGCTCCTTCGGGCGTCACAGTGTTGCTTTCCTCATTTTTTTCCCTCTCCTTCGAGGTGCTTTGTCTCTCGCTACTCGCTACCTCGATCGGCTCAGATGAATTATTTCAGCGCTTTTCTATAAACGCATTTCCGCTTGTCACCCAGCATATCCCCACTCACCAGACGTTCCTCTCTCCGCATTTCTGGTGTGATTTCGAACAAAACACTCACATCATTGTCAATCTGCGATACGTAAAGAATTCATCCGTTTTTAGGAATCACTTATGGGACGTACTCTATTCGAAGAAGTCCGCAAGCGAACCGGTGTGATGGCCTGAAATGATTCACGACTGCTGCTTAACGGATCACCAATTTCTGAAGGCTAGTCTAGCTAGAGTATGGGTACGTTTTGGTGGAAGGAAACCATCTCTATCAGAGGAAATCGAATCTCTTTTCAGAATCCAGAACTGAAGCAATACAGAAATCGGTCCCTTGTATACTCCGCTTTAGAAATCCTAACGCTGGCCGAGTGCAGATCACACACCACAAGTGACGACGGCCATTACAAAATGTACAATATGTGTTTCTTGCCAGTAAAATGATTAGCCTGTTGCAGCCGTATTCTTTCAGTTGTCACTAATTACAACTCTCATTTACCAACTAATCAGCTATCACTATCAATCACTAGTTTACAACAATTCACTTGGAGGCCGTCGTCACTTGGGTTGTGCTGCACTGACGCGGTGTGTGTTTTCATGAACAGTGAATAGTTCCATTTCCCTCGAGACTCCTTTCGTAATTTCTCCTCTTTGCCCAATATACCCTCCTCTTCAAAAAGCGAAAGTGTCGGGTGCAGACCATGCACCACAAGTGACGACGGCCTTCACAAAATGTTAATGTTTTCTGCCAATGAAATGATAGCCCTGTTGCAGTTGTATTCTATCGATTGTCACTAATTACAACTATCATTTACCAGAAATCAGCTATCACTATGAACAACTTCTAACCAGATTTACTTGGAGGCCGTCGTCAGTTGTGGTGTTTGGTCTGCACCCGACACTTTCTCGCTTTTTGAAGGGGAGGTAATAAACTTGTATCTCGCAGCCAGCGATGTCTGCAATGCGGATATAACACCATAGGCGTAACATCGAATAATTAACATTAAATAATTACTATTATCGAAAATCATGCGTGAAATTGACTTTTCAACAGGATCAACACGTTGTACATGTGGGGTGTGAAGAAACTAATATCACGCTTTTTTTGAAGGTAGTGATTGCTTTGAGTCTTATGGTACGGTGTTGGTTCTACTGCAGATACACTTGGCTGAAAGATTCAAAATACTCGCTCCGCGAAATCGAATCACACTTATCCAACGCTACTGAACAGATAACAGTGTAAAGTATTTGACTGGCATTAGAAAATATTAATTTAACTCGAATTATAACAGCCCCGCGTAGGCGACACGCGACGAATGTCGCGACGTCGCGTGGCGACCTTCTGTAACGCACCCTTTTATTCCATTTATCATTATTTTGGAAGATTCTACGGCATGAATAGGACTTTGAAGTTCTTCAAAAACACCATAAAAGGCTCTGGATTTCCAGCTAAAGCACCGAATAAGAGACTATTCAGGGGCAGGTGTACTGATAAGAAATACTTACCGGGTAGCCGTGCTCTTCGAATCATCTGCACTTCCCGTTTTATTGTGTGAAGAGTCCAAGGATTTAAGCTAAAAATGTGATTTCCAAATATTCAGAGAATTTTCAAATTGGACACGAAAACCGATCGATATTAGTGAGATCTACAAACTAATAACTAATAAAATAATTAGGGAAACCAAAAGCATAATTCACTTCAGAAAAATTTCACTCTTGATTGCGAGACGGTATGGATCCATCATTTTAAATGTCCCACAACCAATATTTGATTTTTGCTGTAATGCCGCCACTTACTTACTTACTTCTTACTTCTCGACCGCTATTCGTCCCGGGCACGCCAGAAACGCAGGTCGCACATCTTCCAGGTCGCTCTGCTTCGGGCTCTTCTGCGCCACAACTGGCCGTACATCTTCACGAGAGGGTCTGCCCATCTGGTGGGGGTCTGCCTCTGGGCCTTGTTTTTCCCCTTGGGTACCAGTCAGTCACTCTCTTCGTCCAGCGATGAGTCTAGCCACCGCCGCTTGGAATTGTAAGATGGCATCGACGACGTCCTTCACCATCGTACGAGCGCGGATGGTGTCATTGGGTATGCGGTCTCGGAGCGTTACCCCGCACATGGCCCTCTCCATGGCTCGCTGAGTGACTGCGAGTTTCTCCTCTTCAGAGACTGTGGTGCTCCACGTCTCCGCCCCGTAGGTCATCGCGGGAAGAACATGCGAGTTGAAGACGTGAGCTTTGACCCCGGGGTCGACGTGCTTAGAAGTTAGTACATCTCGAAGTTTATTGAATGCGGTCCAGCCCGCTCTGCGGCGTCGGCTAATTTCAAGCGTGAGGTCGTTACTCATGTTGACGCGCTTTGCCTACACGTAAGAGGAGACTTGCTCGAATCTCCTGGCCTTCTAGAAGATCGGCTGGTACTGAACTTGTTCGTTGAGCATCCCTGAGGCCTTGCTGGGATGGTATTTGTAGTCCGATTTTGCCGGCTTCCTGCCTGATGAGGCTCAGGGATTGCGCAATGTCGGCGGGGTCCTCGCCTATCAGAACACAGTCATCAGCGAAGAGGAGATGCGTTAAGCGAACGCCGTCGATGTTCACTCCTCCGGGCAACGAGATTCGCCTCATGATGTTCTCGAGCGCAATAGCGAACAAGTTCGGGGACGTAACCTCGCCTTGTCTGACGCCGCGCCGGATTTGAACACGGACCGGTGTTTTTATGAGTTTGATATCGGTATAACAGCCCGTGTTGCACTGCCGCGTGATTCTAATATAGGGTTCAGGTGTACCACGATACTTTCATTTCGAAAATGATCGATGCCTATCTACTCCAAAGGAAAACCGCCTATTCGCAAACTATGACCGCGGCCTAAGCAATCGATTGCATTGAGCATGACGAAACTGTTCTAGACTTGGAAAAGCTATGAGAACATCAAAAGCTCATCTATAATACTACAAAAGCATATAAAAGCGCTTCAATTGGTTAGAATTTTTGTAAGAAAAAATTCACTACCGTGTGGAAAAAATAAAAAGAAACAATAAATAATTGGAAATGAATTCAAATGATAGGAGAAGACTCACCATCCCATTAGCTGCTAAACTGGGTGGTGGCAGAGGTGCTGAAGAAAGGAACGTGCAATTGTGGTAAGAAATTTTACAGCAAAAGCTGCTCAATGAACATCAACAAGGCCATTCATAATGGATGGAGAAGATGATAGAAACCAGAACAAGCCCGTAGTACACCACGCTTTTTGAAGGAAAAAAAGGAAGGCAAGGTGGGCTTAACATTAGGCAAGGCAGTTACTGCTACAATAATATGTTTTCTAAAAGATAAAAAAGGCGTTGATAAGTAGCTTTCCAGAAGTACTCCACTCGTTCTTCTTCCACTCAGAGTCGTAGTGGGGTTTTGAAAGAGTTCTGGCCAATACAATGAGTTTGCGGGGCTAGTCGGTGTGCAAGTCAAGGTGTTTATCTTTGCGAATAAGTTGCTAGCGATTAGCTGACCCCGAAGGGATAGAGGCTTAGTTGGCCCGTACGAATATGACCCAATATTTGATCTCTTGACAATGCGCGTGATAAGCAGCGCTACGTCACTTTATCACTTCCGCACCTTGTATCATTAGGTCCACACAAAAGAAAGTTTGAGTCTTACGAAAGACATTAGGGCGGGGAGATGTGTTTAGAGTAACACGCTCAGCAGAGGTAGTGGCAAAAAATCTATGTACTGGCTAGGACAGAGTATCTCACGAGTAGCACAGATATGCCGTTGTTCGAAAGTGCGCGACAATAGGCGGTAGACTCTTACAAAGTAAGCATTTGGCGACTAATCCTAACATTTGGACGAGTCGCGTCAGGCACATTCCACTATTTTTGTTAGTGCAAAGTGGATGGCGCAGCGGTAACAAATGCGTTAGCTAAGTGCTATTGCGGCAGGTAGTTCGAAACAACTCGTCTGCTCCGGGCCCTTTCCCTTTTTCGAGGGGATTTTTAGGCTTCATCGACGGTTTTCTTTGTTCCGTTTTTCATGGCGGTGTTGCCTTACTCGGGTCTATTCTTACAAAAGAGAGGAATTAGGTGGAGAACACCCAAGGCAAAGACAAGATAAGGATTTTTGCCCATATAGTAGTTGAAGAAGGTTCTGAGTGGGAGAGCCATTCTCACGATGTGAGGAAAACCACCTTGGTTTGCACACAGCTCTGAGCTCCTCCACCTAGGCCTCCGTAAAAATCCTCATACCTGGGTCACGCATACTTTTTATTTTATTTTTATTTTTTTTGTGGTCGCACTATCTAACGCCAGATGCTTTTAACATAAAAGTATAGAAAATGAGGATATGGCACAGGAACGAAGCTCATAGCGTTTCGCAAATTCAGAGGCACCTTGACTACATTGAGATTATCGCAAACCCATAAACTATCTCGTCAAAATGCTTCCCCCCCCCCAATCTTCTACTTGAGTCGACCCCGAAACTTCCCAGAATTTCTCAAAGATCATCGAAAGTCGCCCGCGATAAACAAGCCCTGAATAACCATCCATCAGTCCCTCCCCGGAGCTTCAAAAAATAACGACAAACCTTGTTCTGCAGACTCTCTTTGTCGTCGCCTTCGTCGTTTTGCATCGGCTCGCGTAAGCGAGCGGTCGATTTCTTCGTCACTTGACGAACTATGAGTTAGAGCTCGTTGCCGAGAATTTCGTCGGGCGGCTAGAGCTAAGTAACATCAGGAATTCTAATTTGGCTTACTGTACAAAAAAATGATTTCCAACTCACCAAGATTCATAGTACAAAAGCTTCTCATTCGGGCAGAGTCGTACCTAGGTGATATCTAGTGGAACTTACTTCGCTCTTTGCTAGATCTCTTTCTGTGCCTTTCTGAGTCACGTTCTTGACTGCTCTCTCGTATTGAGGGGTTTTTCGGGACAGATGACACACCAGCGTGCGATGTTGGCTGTTTGTCCGCGTCTCGTAACGATTCTTGACTAGAATTTCTGAAAATATTTAGGAATGACACCAATATATCTTTTTGCAGGTCTTATTATGCACAGCCGCTAATCTCCATGTTGTGCTTCAATGGTGTTAATAAATCCTAGACTTCAAGTAAGATTCGGAAACTTAGGCAATAATATTACAAGTATTAGGTTGTCCGTTAAGTAATGTCGCTTTTTTCAAATGAAACTTTTTCAACTAAGATTCCACGTTTCTCCATAATGTTATGTACCATTAATAAAAAGAGAATTATGCACTCTACAAAACACGTAGTTTTCCTCAGGGGTACCCGACAGGAGACCCCTAGCGCGGCACGAGGGCAGAGACGCAAACGGGTCAATGAACGAGTCGCAGCGCATACTGTGGCGATTTAGCGTCAAGTTGGACATAATGGGACGTACGCACGTCCTAAATCGGAATAGCACGCGCTGCGACTCGTCCACTAAACCGTCCGCAAATCTGCCTCTCGCTACGCGACGGGTCTCTTGTTGGGTACACTGCCCCTCCTATCCCTACTATATATAATGCGCTATGTCTGTCTGTGTGTGTGTGTCACGGTGTCTGTCTGTCACGAAAATCCCTAGCTCCTAGGGATCCGCCTGGAGGGACCGGGTCAAGTGTGGGATGGGTGGGCAGGTCTCGAGAAGTACAAAACACACATCAGCTAAGCGGAGCCCCGCCCACAGAGGGCGTGGCGTGCGTCGAAATGAATGTACCGAAGACCAAGATTTCGATTTCAGTGACAAAACGACCTCGAAACTGGGCCAAAAAGTGGGTAAAGGTGTGCATTGGTAAGTCACATCGAATTAGGGAGACCCACCCCCGGTGGGCGGGGCGTTCTCCAAAAAAGCAGTGCTTTATGAAAAAAATTCATAACTCGGTTTGGAGTGAGTCTATAGTTCAAAGAGAAAGTCGGTGTAGGGGAGCAATGTCTAAGGTGTTTCCAGCATGCCTGACGTGGCGGAGGCCCGCCCAGAATGGGCGGGGCGCGCTGAAGTGTACAGCATTTTCTACAAGCCCTCATAATTCGGGTCGGGGAAGTCTTAAAGAGCCGGAAAAAGGTGGATAGAGGTGTATGGAGGAGTGGAGGTCCAGCTGTCATCGGTGGGCGGGGCATGACCAAAGTGGGCGGAGTTTATTGAGTTTGTCAACGGAAGGTCAACCGCTATTTGTGGGTTGAGCGTACGTTGAAGTAGACGTGTTTGTCACGTGATATTACAGAGGTTGAAGAGAGCACAGAGGCTGGGAAAGTGGGTAAAGGTTGGCGAAGGAATGGGGTCAAATGCTATTTGTGGGCGCCAAGGATTTGCGGAGTTTCCCACGGTGAACTATAAAAATATCAATGGCCCTGTTTCCTTTCAGTGCAGTCCCGTGTGATGCACGCGAATGCGTGCGCCGCTAAACTGGTATTCAATATAAAACTTTAGGCTTACATAACAAGGTGCCCATTCAGTACGATGACGATATTACATTACGAAAATTCCCCTGAAAATACCAGAAGATCAGTCAGTGATGTGGCCCATACATAGTTACAAGTGATTCTAGAAGTTCCGTTTGTCAGTGACCGTAAGAAGCGTAGAATCTTTCGGCTATAGATTTGACAAGAAATCGCTGGGCTGCTCGGGTTGGATCACCAATTTCTTAAACATGTTGGCAGTACAGAGTGATGGGACGTTAAACCAGAGCGTTGTCGGTTAGGCTCAGTGGGTAACATCTCTGATTGATTTCCTTCTAAGGAGCATAGAGTCAAGTTTGTAGCCAATTTGGCTGATATTCTTTTCCTCTGGAGATCCCACTCTGTTAACCTGAATTCTTTAAGTTCACAATTAATTTAGAAGCGAAACAGTGGATGATACAGTTAGTGAAGACAGTTCCCTTGATGAACGATCTATGACATATTACAAAGCATGGATTTTAGATAATAGATTTCGCATTCAAAAAAAAACACTACGCTATCGGACAGCGCTAACACAATATGTACTGGAAATATAACATGCGCTTTCCATTTTCGAAAGGAATAAGGCGAAGATTTTGTTGTAAGATGTGCCTTTAAATTCGCTTCCATTTCGCTTAATGTAAGAAGCACATATTTACCTATCACTCTTCCCATCCAGCACCGACGACTTGAGCAACGATCTCGGTTGCTCCGACGACGTCAGAGATCTCAATATTTCATTCCGTGGACGAACGGGTGAATAGCTTCTGGAAATTTCAGTAAACATCGATAAAAACCTAATCGATAATCCTCCTTCTCATTAATCGAAACGATTAGTGAAAACAGAAAGCTTTGAACGTAAAATTTCTATCAATTGATGCCACTAAAAGCCACTCTATCTTGTGACATCTAGCAATATGAAGACACTCCAGAACGCACCGATTGCGCTCCATAAGAAATTTATTCTGCCAATATGTTGTACGTAAGCTTAAAAGATGTAATCAAATCAAAGCCATGTAGACGTGGGAGTAGACGTGGAAACTCCGCCCTCTGGACGAGTTGCCTCACGTCTCATAAACAACGAGTCAATTGCTAGAGCAGAACTCTTATGTGTAGCAGCTGTAGTAGAGAATTTTGGCGAAATGTCTCAAGGATCAGATTTGGTCATTTCGCTGAATAACAGCATGTAAAACTTATCGAACCTCGACATCAGCTCCTTTGGCTCTTCGGGTTTTGTTTTGCCATAGGAAAGTGCAAATGATGGAGTATATGATGGAGTGTATGAAGTGGACGTCCGCGCTCGAGAACCGTAAGTTTGAGAGCGAGAGCTATCTGTAGATCCGTTTCGCGATCGATACTGAACAATCGATATTAATCAATAGAAATGTACCCTTCTACGCGCAGAGCAGTTCGAGCGTCGCGTGCGGATTAGTTGTAGGGGACACCTAGTAGCCAAGATTTTTTTAGCTCTTTAAGCTAGCTAAGATCATCGAGTTCCTGATTTGAGGCAGGGCGAGAATGTCAAGAGCATCCGCGGGCGGTCGCGTCGCGTTGCACACTGCTAGATTGCTATCACTCGCCGTATCCTATCAGTTGTTCACGTATTACAAAACATGGATTTACTTCTGGTACCTCACGGAAAATACGCAAAGCAGCAAAATCCTGGATGTCGTGACGCGACCGCGCGCGTTTGCTCCTGTTGAACCTTCTCAGCCCGCGATCGTTAAAAGGTTGTGTTCTCTTTGCATGAACTCTTCACTGCTCTGTGCTGTAAAACGAAGCTGCAAACCAACCAACGTAGCATTAAAACGTTAAATGGTAGGAAGCGTTGTGAACAATGACAAATCAAACAATTAGCAACGTCACACGAAGAGAGCGAGTTGAAGCGCGGGGTAGACGACGTAGTAGAGAGGCATCCTTAAACATCTCACGTGCATATTTCAAGCGGCCCGGGACCGTATTCACGTCGTTACAGTACACACATTTTAGACAGTGACTAATCTTTCCAAAATTTCACAGCATTTCTCCTTTCACTCTCCCTTCACGGACCAATCCCTAACTCAAAAGCTGCCTGAGGTTGCTTCTGCTTAAGTTTCTGGCTCATACTCCAGAAAAGACAGAAAAAGTTTTATGACTATTTCAGCGCCAGGATTTCCCGCTGGAAAGCTAGACGTGAGACAACTTACCCCATGGCGGTAAAATACCCTTTGAGCACTTCAAAGGCAGGGTTTACAATTTTTGGGTTTTCTGCGTAATGCGATTGCCCGACAAAACCAACGACCAGCTATCAGTTATGATAAATTCTTGAAGGGAAGGGTTTTCTAGGTAAATTTGTCCCAATGAGGGAGAGCAAATCTTCCTGTGCTTTCCTAGAGTTTGCTCACCTTATGTGAGCTATTTTCTATTTGAATGCCTTCAAATTATTTTTGGGGATCAATATTGCTACTGAATGACCTAAACAGCTGAGTTGGGATGGCCCGAGTTTTTTTTTTCGACGAACACGGTCCCGGGCTTGACACACTATAAGCACACTACGCACCCCGCTAGCACTAACGTAGCTTCGTAGGCGATCGACAGATTGCGACAGCTCGTCGCCGCTCGCCTGCGACTGCGAACTGCGCCGCGACCACGCGCGTGCGTTTCGCGCCGCCGTGTAGGAAGCACTCACGTCGTCGCCGAGCGACGCGCGAATTCGCGACGATTCGGCGAGTCGTTGGCGCCACGGCCGCTCTGCGCGAGGTGTGCTGAAATGAGCAGTATAAGCATCGACAGCTTTTCTCTCTATGGTATAGAATACGGCCTGATAGGGCTTTTGTATAGGGTTCGTTTCCATTAGACAGCTGCTCACACGATTGGATGGAGTGCGCACGCGTTGCAAACGCACGCGTCCGCACTCGGTCAACTCAATCTTGGCTATCACATGGGATTAAACTTCACATAACTGTTGTAGACCGCATTTTTTCTGCGTTAGTACTTTCATATAGTGACAACATACGGTAAAATTTTACGCAGATCTGTCATTTTTGGTTGTCGATTGAATAAATACAGTAGAATTTCAACTAATAGTAAATATCACTTACTGTGGTTGAGGCAATGGAGACGCCGACAAGGC